AACAGAGAAATCCAAAGCAATTTTACAACCCGTACTAGTAACTCGTTCAATTAACTTTGCACATCAAAAACAATGCAGATTTTGTATTTTAACAGTCAATAAAAGGACGGATTGAAGCCTCCCCAATGTACTGTGTCATTTGTTAGATCACAAAAGACCAGCATCCTTACTGTAAGCTTTACAAAATATTCACATTAATATTTAATCTCTCACAGAATTAACATTCAGGTGTATGAAAGGATTCAGTTTTGTTTTGACTGCTGGTAAATTAGCAGCTACAGGATTTTTTTTTTTCTGGTTTTATGAAGTTCCTTTGAAGTTGGCTGCATTGGAAGGAATAGCTGAAGGAGCTCTCGTTTGTGATTCAGCATAAAGTACAAGTTATAGGGCAAAGCCAAATTTTAAGAGTCATTACTGTAAGCCTCTAAAAATCTATTTTCTTGATTGCCAATTTTAAGTCAAGCTCAAAAATAATCTATTTTTAGTGATTTTAAAACAAACCCACTATACTGTAAAAGCTACCACTACTTAAAAAGTCAGAGAACTAAAGAGACAATTCTACTTCATAGCATCATTTTAATCAAACTTTTTACTTCTCTCCTGAATTAAATATACTTTAATCCCCACCATTACTCTTTGAAGCTGACATCTTCTCAGGCAGAAGCCTTCAGCATCCTTTATTTGGAAGCTAATTAGCACTCAGGCCACCAGTACAATCTGCCTCACCCCAGGACTCCACAGCTCTCCGGTTCGGGCACTATCCCTCCCAACTCCCGCAGGTACTTCAGCCGCGGTGAGCGCGGCAGGGGTGGAGCACTGCCTGCCTTTCCAATTAGCTTTCTGCCAGCTGGGGTAAGGAAGATAACACCTCACCCCGCCCTATGGCTGCCAGAGCACAGTCTTCTGGGAAGTTTCAGTGAGTGTGGCTCAGCCGTCAGCTTGCACAGGCTCAGGGTCACATGGTCATGGCATTTGAGTTTTCTTTTTTAGATCAGCAGCACCTCAACAGTGAGGCTTACTGTTTTGTGAATGTATAACCTAAGTACCAGAGTAACAGAAACCTCCTGCTCTACCTTTTCATTAGTGCACTTCACTCAACAACCAACTCTACTCAAGGTACTTTTTCCAAAACCAAAGCAAATCAAGCAGCAAACCCACTAAAATGATAAATTCAAAAGGTACGGTTCGTTACACCAAAAGTAACAACACTACTGCAATATGAGGACTACTTCAGCATTTGGAGAGCAAGATAAAGAGCTCTTCACTTAAGACAACCACTTGAAGACAAGCAATAAGAAGAACACCCAAATCTCTCTTCCCAGTACTACAAAAAGCAAATCTGTGGTCACAATTCAATCCCAAAATAAACAAGACCAGAGGGAGCATACAGTGCAAATAACCTTCCTTTTCTTATGTCAAAAAGTTAAGTTTCAAAGTTCAGGTTACTGCAGATTGGCAGATTACTGAGGTCTGCATTGCAAACACCTTGTGAGAACAACATGACTTAAAAATAAACCTAAGTACTACAACATCCAAGAAGTACCACCAAAGAGACAGGTTTTCCAAAAGTACTAAGTGATTCCACAAAAAGGTTAACAAGTATCCGAACACTGTCAGAGCATGGCACTAATACTGACCACTTCTGAAAAGGTCTCTGACCACAAGCCTTGTGCAGATCTAACATTCATTTTGCTATGCAACCATCTTTAAAAGCAAGCACTGTCCTGCTACAATTGCAGATTAAACCACAGCGAAGTAGGAAACAAACCTGCTTGTCAAACAGAACAGAAGCACATTCAGGAACAGAACTCACATTTCAGAAAAAAAAAAAATAAAATTAACTTTCTTTATCACCGGATCATCCCAGCAATGGTCCCAAACACAGCAGCACAGCTAGAAACAAAAACAAAGAAACCTCCACTGACACCTAATGCAAATACACTGAAGGAGGCAGGCAAACAGGACAGCTGAACACACTGACTGAGAGACAGAAAAACACTGGGCTTCCAGATGAGGAGTTCTTTAAGTCTTTTTCAATCTTGCTTTCAGCTTTCTACAAATCAGTCCAACAAACCACAAGCTGATACAGTAGCCATCTTACAAACACTATGTACACTTACTCTACAGAGCAGCTTTGTCACAAACCACAAAACAGTGTCTGTCATTCTCAACAGAGATGATATTGCAAGAAACAAGAGAAACTTGAAGCATTCTAAGGCAAAATCCCAAACTTCCTCAGTAAAGCCAAGTGAAAGGTGTGGGTGCCATGCAAACTAAAAAGAAACTTGCCTTAGGGTGTACTGGGCTGAGATTATTGCCATGCACAAGAGACCAGAGGCTGCACCAAGAGAAAGCATTTCAAAGTTATTGTATCCTACCAATGAACTTTGAAGCAGAGCATGAAAGAGTAAGTCACTTAGCAGGTTCAAAAACTCCATCTTTGTCCAAACCACTCGAGGACATTTATTGTAAACTGGATGGTGTCCCTAAACATTCCTTCAGGTATGAAGAAATGTTACTTTTAAACAAACAGCACCTGGTTTTGAAAGTCACTCCATCCCACTGCACACTTAATGCCTAGCATTTTTGCTAGAATCAAGAACTTTTCTGTTATTGTGCTATTTTGGCCAAAGTTGAAGTTTAAGGACATTTGCTGCCCTAGATGATCCTCTACTTCTAAGTGAGTAGGTTTTGTACATCCATGCAAATTATGTGTTAGTAAAGAATGACAAAAATTTTCAGAGCAACCTAGCAAGGTATCAAAAAAAGAAACTCATTTCAGCTGCACAAATATGAAAAATTCTGAATATGTAACAGGAGGAATCTAAATTAGATCCACAGTAAAAACAGAAGGAGGATTCATTTTGTGTATTAAAATTAAGTTGGGTGCAAAAAGCTGCTTTGAAAAAGAAGTTAGATCTAAAAAAAGCCAGCACAAACCCTGTGTTCTACATATTGAAACAGGTGAAGACTATTAGACTTGAGTCTAAGTGTAAGGAGGTGACTTTCTTCTTCCTTCTAGAGATGGAACTGCCAGTCCAACTGTATACTTGGACCAAGACCATGTATCCACCCAGTTCAACCACCAGCCAATTCAAATGCTGGTGTGTAGGTATCTGCTTCCTACTGTAGAAATGAATTTACTGATGAACTTGGCCTCCTGCTGACTCACGTCTTCTTTGGTTTTGTGTTTTGCCAGTCTCCCTTTCTAGCAGCAAAGTGGAGTGCTGCTATATAACGCTCTATTTTGTCCAGCTCCAACAAGATCCAGCTTCAGGAATCTGAAGGCAGAAGAGAGACTATCCAAAACACTGGCTCTTCAGCAAATTTACAGTGTTAAAAGATTTCAGTATAGAACCCTGGAGAGAGCTGTTTGTATGTAACATTGAGATAAGGACCACACTCCTCTGGGCAAGAAGATCTAAGGCAATTGTGTGGGTACAGACTTGCCACTAGTAGCTACACTATCATAATTGTGTTCTTCATTTCACCTATGTAATTTAAAGAAGTTTCCTTGAAAGTGAAGTTTGGCAGCTCAGTGTAAAACCTATGGGTATAGTATGAAGGAATTCAAACTCAACTCCAGATTGTCCTAATTTTATTTGACTTGGTTAACCAATTTTGAATCGCTTTTTTACAGTTGACATAACTTAAAAGGAGCACACTATATCCTATGAATATAAATTAACATTTTTAGTAACTCAAGACATCACAACAAAGCCAGATTTTGAAATAATTTCTCTGTTTAGTTATCTGGATGGAGAAGGAACATACACAGGGAAGGAAAAAAAAACAGCATTAACAAGAAAACACTGTTTAAGTCTAAACTGAGTTTGTGCTTCTACACCAAAACCACAACACTGAAGTAACAAGAACTCTGTGAAGAACTTGAAAAGGTACATAACTTCTGTCACCCCAAAACCAAAGTGTGTATTTAGTTTTTCTTTTGGTTCCACCAAATTAAAAGTAACGGCAGGGGACAGATGTGAGATATATGAGCTTTGCTGCAGGACAAATGTGAGATATGCTAACTTGGCTGCAAATATGAACTCTTTCGTAGCAGTTTGCTATATTGTTGGTTTAAGTTGAATTTCTTTCCCTGCATGAGAAGAGCAAGTCTTTTAGGTGTATTTAATAATCAATGCATTTGTTAGTACAAAGCAGATGGTGTTCAGCAAGAAGGCATGAAGTGATCACTTGAAAACACCAAGCTTTTTTTTTTTTAAAAAAAAAAAACAAAACACTAAGCCACCCTAAAGATTTCATGAAGGCCAGATGTTCAAAGCTGGTACACAGATAAAACTGCACATCCATAATTTACCCAAGGCCTGACAGGTGCTAACATAGGCCAATAGTTATTTGCATGTTTTCTCTATGACATATAGATATTGAGTCATCTTGCACTAAACTTTTAAATTCTCGTCTTAGCTACAAATTAACACTTTGCTTCACTTCATTAATTTAACAGAAGGCATTATTCCATCTTTCTTTTTTTATTGATGACTGAAAATAAGAGTGACATATTTTAATACTAATGATTTTGAAGGAAAAAAATCTTCAAAACAATTATGTTCTCAAAATAAGGGAAAAAACCTTACTGTTGAGAAAGCCTTTTTTAAATGATTAAATATTCTCCTGTGTATTTACGTTCACTACAGATTATTTTTTAAAGCAATCTCAGTACTTAAAATTTTAGAAAAAAATAATTTTTTAAACAGAGTTACTTTAAGCTGAGATCAAAAAATATACTAGAGAAGAAGATGGAGTTAGAGAGTCAGGCTCGGAATGCTTCTTAAAAATAGGTGCTTCAAATACAGGTTTAGAAAAGAAATTAAATATGTTTTCAGTCACGCTGAAGAAAAGATCTGCAAAGAAAAAAGGCCCTCATCCTTCAGATTGAAGAAAAAGGTGGTAGGAAACAAAAAAAAAAGCGCAGTTTTCCCAAGTTGCCCAAATCACACACAGAGACAAGAAGGTTACAAATGCCATTCATGAAAGAATGCACCACAAACGTCAGCATTTATTCATTTTGAATTTTTTTTTAGCAAATGACAAAAGACTCAGCTTACTGGCTTCACTTTTGTTTACCTTTTACTTACATTACACATTTAAACATTTGTCAAAACTTACTAAGTCGTCTGCATTCATGCACAACTAGAAAACATCCTTAATTTATTTAAACCAGAAATGCATTACCAGAAATGTATTAACATTGTTCACTACTAAACATTTAAAAAAAAAAGTTGAAATTATTAAAAAGGTTATCCTGGAAATGTTAACTTCACAGCAGACTTAAACTACTAATTGGCTCACATTTCAAATTGGAAAAAGCAAGATTCATGCTAGTGTTAATGTACATCTCGCCCTAGCACTACTGAAGGATCATGGTTCACCTTGATCATATATAATAAAAAGAAAAGTGCATACAGAAATTTACAACAATTTTAAGGACAAAAAAATGGTCCAATTGATGTGGTCCCAGCAATTAACTCAAAAGTCTATGACAAATACGAGCTTCTGTGAGCTATTTATACTACTTAAGATTAAGTATGGATATACAGAAAGTAGAGTTCATTTGAAATCTTCAAAAAATGTTCCTGTCAATCCTCAAATGGTGGCTGTTATAGCTTAAAATTTCTGTTAAATGCGTGCGTTGAATTACTTGTTATCCAAGCGTAGCAGCTGCTCCTTACCATTTATTGTTAGCGACCTTAACTGGCCATCTTCTTCAACTTCTACTCTCTCTTGTCCATTCTCAACAATTCTGTAGGATAAAAGCACAGTTAGCCATTATAAAGCACTGTAAGCAGTTTTTAAATACACACCAGACTTGGGTTTTTAGACAATGAGCTATAATAGAGCACAGCCTGCTTAATGCAACTGTAGTTGGCAAGCTTTTGTATTTCACAGCACAGAATCTGTAACCAGTGACCATCTGCATTCTCCCACTAATATTGCTTATTTCTAGCAGGAAAATTACATTCTGGAAGTTTTAATCCTCCAGTTTGTAGAGTTCACAGTTACAGCTGTCATCTTATACACTGCCACAGTCATACTGATGCCACACTAAATGTCTTTTGACAGATCAACTGTACAATCCTGACATTGCATTTAGGACCACCCATTTGTAAAATGCTTGATATTCTAGACCAAATCACAGTTCTGTACGATGTAAGGCACACAAGACAGTCTTTAATCCCCTTCTAATTTGATCAGAGAAATTAATTTGGAGGCCTACTGTATACCAAGTTTATGATCAGTATGCACGTTATAAAATTTAAGTATCCTTAACTGGAAGGAGGGATTATTAAATAGCTCTGTGGGTTTGGGCTTTTTTCATAGTTTGCTTTAGAAATAGGAAAATAAGAAATTTCTTTTTCGAATTTATTTTTTTAAATTTATTTTTACTCTCTGGGAATTCTCCCCTTGTGATCCAAATGTTGAAACCCCGTGGATGAATACAAGTTTTTCTGGAGATCACACTTACTGAAGTGAATACACCCATATTAAAAACAGAGGGGGCAACTTCTTGCTGGAAACAAAATATTACTCAAGAGTAGATTTTCCTTGGGTGTGCTGAGATATGAGTCTTCTTTCGACTTAGCTACCTTGTGGGCAGATATTCTACAAAGTAACAGGGCTTCTCAGAGAGAAAATGTAGCTAGACACATCTAGGAAGACACATTTCTTGCTTCCCTCATCTGCTTTCTAAATATGATACCCAAAGATACCACAGCAGCATACCTGGCTTAGCCTGTATTTTAGTATTAAAACAAACACAGTGCCTTATCTTCTTTTGCACAAACAATTTCTTTAGTCTAATCCAATACAATTCCCTCAAAAGTAGGCAGTTCACAGATTTTTCTGGAAGACGCTCAGAAAAACATAATGCCCACTCCAGTGTGTGATGACAAAGGCCGCATTTCAGCGGTCAAGATGACAGGACCTCCCCAGTACAACAGGACAAAGAAGAATCTTGCACTTTGAGGTGCCAGACACGAGTTACCAAACAACTACTGGTTCTCACTTGCTTTTCCATAACTTTTTATGAAGTACTGAAATTACATTTAACTACTTGCTTTGGACTCCTATAACTTACTGATCATATTGCTCCAAACATGTTACTCTATAGCTAACTAATATTTGGGCTTCCCAAATGTAGTAATTTCCTCATCACAAGCATGAAGTAGTGAGAAACCACACTCTGTGTAATACTTGAAAATTTACTTTCCAACAAACATGACGTTTTATCCAAGGCAGGCTTCAGTTGCTTATTTCACTTAACAGAGAGAAGAAACCTACTTTTTACAGAAAAACTCCACTCAAACACTGCCTGGGAAAGCAAACTATAGCAGATGTTAGGGGAAACCGTTTCATGTCTCATGGTGTCTGCAACACTAAAAGTCCTCCCAGTCCTGTTAAAAGCTCCATAACCAACAGAGGCCTCTTCCCTTCCAGAAGCTCAAGCTGACTTGGTAGACAGTAGTGAAGGACTGTACTAAAAGATGCATCACTACACAGGGGTCCTGCAAGCCTGGGAGATCTCCACTGCCAGGTCCCCTTCAAACAGCAAACAAGTTGCAACCCCCATTTTTCATCAGGGCAATTTGTTACACATCTGAACCTCCCTCGACTATCAGGAGAGCTCAGACAAAACCCTTATCTTCCACATTTTCACATGCTATGGCTTTAAGTAACTCAGCAATGCCAAGAAGAACCAGAGACCCAAGAAAACGTTTAGAATACTTGAAGCATTTAGAGAAATCCAAGTAATGTGATGACCACAACAGCAAAAGTAAAAATACATTTATGTGCGTATCCCTATATTTATGTTTGTACATAATATTTATGTGTACGTATTTATAGCTATGTATGGCTCTACAGTTTCATACAAATATACATCACTTACCTCTTTGTAGTAATTTTTCTGCCATTCACTATTTTAGTTGAAGTTGATACTGATTTGAAGTTACCCATCCCACTGCCACCAAATGACGTAGAGGAGAACGAAGTAAGGCCTCCGTGTCCCAGTGAACCAAATGATGTAAAACCTATTGGGAAATAAGGTTTTTGAGTAAAAATATAATTTTGTATGACCGTGGGGTCCAAATTTATCATTCACTCAGACTACATCCTAGCTTCAGGATGCCCTTAGTTGGTGGCATCAACATAGCATCAGTGACTATATGGCATTAAAACAGCAATGTGAAAATAAAAACATGGCTCCAGCCCCATCCCACACCAACCCACCGTTCAAAATCCAAATGCCATTGTCCAAAAATCATTTGTCATCTCCTCCCCTGAAGAAAAGGCATTTAAAGCCTGTCTGCTGAACTCAACCATTATATCACCCTTTCCACTTCAGGTAAAGCTAGTAACTTTAATGGACCTGATCTTCTGCTTTAAACTATACATTGGGGATGCCCTGAGTTAGCAAACAGAACAAGATTTCTATCACCAACATCTCAACTCATACCCAGAATCTTAACACTTGGAAGGATGCCAACTCCTAATAACACTCAGCAACCTCCAATAGAGGTTAGGTTAATAGAGGTTAACCTCCATACAGATGTTAGGACTCAGACTACCCCAGAACTGGTAATAAGAGATAGTACCATGGGGTTTAGGCAGACTTTTTTTAAATGTGTATTTTCAGGACCTTAAATGAAAGCCATCCCATCCCCAACATCTAAAAGCAAACAGAATGATGGCCACTCTAAAGCTACAAAGAAACAGTAGCACCAAAATTAAGAACACAGAAATTTACCTCTTTAGAGGTCTGCTTGCTTTTGATGATTTTTCAAGTAGACCAAATATTGTAACTATATTTTTTTTTATATTGACTTTAGAGGACAGCTTAATTTAAAAAACGCATCCTCAGAATTTCCTGAAGGAGGCAACTTGTAAAAAAAGTATTTATCAGCTTACTGTTTTGAGATCCTTTGTGAACTAAAACTGCATTCCTTGTTAAACGTTGTCATATTTACCTGTGTCAAATGAAGAAAAACCACTTCCAAAAGCAGGGAATCCACCAAAGGCAGAGAAAAACGATCCACCACCTCTGTTTCTGCTTCCCCTTGGACCCCACCTGCCCCCGAAGAAGTCCTCAAAAGGGTCTTCTACAAAAGAGAAGACAACATTTAAGAGGTCAATATTACTGAGTGATTCTGTATTTAATCATTGTTTTTAAATGAAGAAGCCCTAATGAAATTTCCTGTTACAGGTAAGATTCTTGCCTTGAAATATTTGATACTGCTCAACTGAACAGTCCACCAAAAAAGGAAACTATGTTCCTTATGGACTACATTCTGTCTCACTTTTGGACCTAAAAATAACTAGAAGCAATTGATTCTGATTTTAGACATTTGGTATTTAAAAAAAAAATCATTAAACCAAATGCTAACATCTTACATTTTGCAGTATAATAGAAGTGGCAAGAGCTACAGAAATAATACTATTTTGAGCACGTGCTCATATAGCTTAATGTGCTGAAGGTATGATAAAAAAAAAGAAATCAGTATTTATTTGAAGCTAACTCTGTCCAGTCAGTTAGCATTCGATGGATTTAACACTATTCAGATGCATAATCATGATCTCTAAGCACCAGGACACCATAAGGCAAATCCTTCAGCTGTTCCAGAGAACTCCCTGATATCAGACTAAAGTTTTTCAAGATGTAGAATAAAGAGTAGCACTACAGACTAATTAAACTGTTAGAATTTGAAGTGAACCAATATTAAAATAACAGCACACAGGTACTTGAACTTTCTATCTTATTTCTATTCAAGATTTGTTGTGGATGACCGTAATGAGGTCTCTGAAGACTAACTTCCAGATAGGTTGTATCAGCTATTGAAGTACACAAGCAGCCAGGGATTGATGACTCATAATCTTAAAGTGTTCAAAGTGTTTATTTTAGCACTTGCCACATCAGGTACTTCAAACATGTGTTCTGATGCAGTTTTGGCAGCAGAGTGTGGAGGCTTACACACAGCGTCCCAAAGAGGCATTTGCTCCCTACCAAGCAGAACAAAGAGGGGAGAAATAGCAAGGGAGTCACAGCTAAAATGCTATTTCAAATTCAAGTACAACTGTTATGTCATTCAGAACAGCTGCTGTTTCATCTCCATCAGAAAAGACAATAGTCTCTTTCAAAATAAAGGAAAAAAAAAAAGGGGGGGTAGGGCTGGGCAGCAGAGATGGGGAAGAGGGAACAAGACACCTATATAAGCAATTTTTATTTACTCTTGTTTTCCTAAAGGATACTTATTTCTAGAATTATCTCAGAACTGCTTTTTACTAAATGCTCTTAAAAGAAAAAACAACATAAAATTGGAATCATCTAATAGATACTCAACATATATAATGCATTTAATTCAGAATAGTTGAGGAACTTCAACCACTCTCTCCATCAGTCACAAGTCTCTCAGGACGAGTGTTGTACCGTACAAAAGACTTTACCAAGTTTTACAAGGGGGACCTCAATCCTGACAGATAACAGTCTGAAACACCACTTAGAATAAGCTCTTGCTGAAAAATGCAGAAACTGGTGCTAGCAGAAACAGAAGTATGAAAGGAGACAAAGTGAAGATCAGAAACACAGTATTTATCCCACCTCTGGTACCCCCACAAAAATCCAAGCTGATAAATCATCAAGTTAATCCAATTGTGACAATACTGGAGCAAACAATATGCTAATATAAAGATAGTAATTAATATCTAGTTTGTGTGCAATTACTTAGAAGTCAAACATCACAATGTATTTATGCTGAACAAAGGCAGTTGCTGAGATTCAGACAAATACTCCCATCAGCAAAAATACCAAGAAAAAACAAAAAACAACAACACACACCACCAACCAGCTTCCACAGTTAATGAATAAAACAAAGCAGGACCAAACTTTTATCTAACATACTCTAGACAGCAAAGTGTTAAGACTTTTTTTCTCTTTGAGGTGGTTTGGTTTTTTTTTTGTTTTGGTTTTTTTTTTTTTTTTTTTTTTGCTTATTTTTTTTTTTTTTCTTATTTTTTCTTATACAACGAGTTTTCCTCAGCATAAAGATAACCTGTTGTTACCTTTAAAGCCACAGAAATTAAACCAATGCTTGGGCATGAAAATATGAGAACCTACCTCCAAAATTACTACTTCCAAAACAAACACTATACCCATTTAAGAAAAAAAGGCACTTTTGCCAGACTAGTATATCAGCTAGCAAGTAAAGCCACTGCAATTAATTGTTTTGTAATCCAATTTATTCTCACTAGAGTGAGTCATAAGTTAGTTATGAAGGTCATTCACTCACGTGTACAAATGATCTATATTATATTACTCCCAGTGTTAAGCTTTCTATTTATAGTCCAATTTTTCTTGTTACCTGGAGTTTAAATAAAAACAAAACAGCCTACCGTGTAAGCTCTGAGTTTTTAATCCCCTACAGTGTATCAGCCTACTCCTCAAGCGAATCTCTCCTCCTTAGCACAACAGCAGCAGAAACACTAATGGTTTTTAAAGGGAGGATCATAGACACTCCCTGAGACCCCTGACACCAACCCAGCTTCTAAATGGATTATTGCCTGCTGCTAGCCACACAGAAACCTAACCAGGGCTTGGACATGCCTTAGTAGCCTTTGCCAACCCTATACACCAATGAAAGAGGTCAGCACTCTGTATTAGCAAATGTTCCAGCCTCAGGTGATTTCTGTGAGCAGTGCTGACGATGATCCTCCAGTGCTTCCAGTAATTCCCTCCAGTAAATAACATACTTGAACCACTCTTCCGCAGCGACCTGCAGAATGCTCAGCAAGATGGATTGTGCAGAGACAGGAAAATGGGTAGGGCTTTCCTGAGGAAATATTTGTTACTATCCCGACAGCCATCCAGGTACAGCACACAGAAAAGAAAAAAATTTTTAAAAGCCAAAAACGTTGAGGAGAGAAGGCAGCAGACACTTGTGCACTACCATTCGCTGCATGCACTGCCAAGTACACACACATTCATACAGCAACCCCACAACTACTCAGGCCCTGTTTATGTTTTTAGTCCCTAAATCGGGATGATTAATAGCACCACTCAGCAAAGTAATAACATTTCAGCCTGGTAGGTCTATTTTTGTGATTTAGCAGAGCTTTTCCATGCATGATAACCTTTTCACATAGATGGCTTTTCCCAAACAGTTCACACGCAGTGAATACCACAATATCAGTGTGTTGGGGCTTTTTTAGTGACTCTTCTTAGGATAGCCATTTTGGTGCTTACAATCCATGTAATTTTTCTTATTCAGTGTTAGAAGCATATCAGATCAAGAAAACCAATCTGTTACCCAAACAAAAAACACAAGTGAAGGCCTTTCTAAAAAAGGAAAATACCATATAAATACCACACAACGTAAAAGCTTCAGGAATGTGCAATGCTAGACTAGTGCCACCTCAGAGTATTACTAAACGCTGGTTGGAGAGAAATTCGCAGTTAAATCTGGGTATTACCAGAAGCTTATGGGAGGACTCAGTATCAGATTCAGTTCCAACAAAAATGCTGGGTTACACTTCTGACACAGAACCTGTGGTGCTGTCAAAACGGCAAGGACCAAGAAAGAACAAACTGTAAGAAACTTCAAGGAAACTGGTGAGACAGATGTCTGTCAACAGGAGATGACATGAAGCTTTTTTGGGGGAAAAAGCAAATGCTTAAAAGCAAAGAACTCATGTAGCCTCTTATTGGAGAAAAATAAAAAACCACAACACACTACCCCAAAAATTAAATAAAAGACCTGCAGACTCTTGCTATTACTAGGTGGGAAGACCATAGTTAGAGAAGCCAAGGATTTAATGCAAAGGTTGGAACACAAAATCCCCAGCAACACCGAAGATTGTACACTAACAAACCCGTCTGTAAATAATTACATTAGAGGTAATATTTCCAAAAGAATGTATATTACTCAAAAAAACACCAAACCTTTGCTAATGCAATTGCAGCAACTGTTTTTTTCCTCTGGGTAGAACATTAAACCTGCTCACTACAAACCACAGAATCCTACCTTGCTTCTCTGTAGTTACAGGAAAAGAATTTCACCTCTAAATGAGTCAAATAACAACAACTATCTAAGTATCCCAATTGCAGTTCAGAATAAGGTAGGTCATGATGCCCCCTCAGTAGTCCTCAGCTGTAACAGAAACAGGACTTTCTCCCTTCCAGCAGTGTAAGTGGGTTGCAGAACACTACTCAAAAGGCAGGATCACTCTCCTTCCCTGCCCTGCAACCCCAGAGCCAATGGCCAGCTGCACTAACTCACTGATCCAGAAGAACACGGCGCGACTGTACTGTTCGTTTTCTGTTGCATCCACGAGCTCGTGTGACTCAGTATTGGCAAGACTGGCATATCTGAAAGGAAATGGGAAGGAAAGCACCATACAACAGGGGAAGCGAGGAAAGGAAGCAAAACCCAGAATCTGATGCAATCCACAGTTCAGTTAAATTTCGTGGAGTTCATTAAAACAATCTAGGGCTTTAGCCAAAATCATGGTACAAACTAAAAGTGCCACATTTCCTATGGCAGTCAGGACACTTGTAGGCTGGCAGCAGGAAGAAGTGCCCAAGTGAAGAACAGTGTTATCCATGACTGAAGCGTTGAGCCCACTGAAGTGCAATGCCATCATTCACCTTTAGAAAAGTGACAGTGTTGAGATAAATTGTGCCCCATCAGCAAACGCTCCCCCGCACGCACACCGCCAGGGCCAGAGGTGCTGATAATCTTGCAGGAACAGCATGCAATGGAGCATTATCTGTAAAAACAGGGTCACTGCTCAGTCACCACTCACTGCACTGCCCCAACAGGGAGCTTTCTTTACTCTTTGCCATCAGAGCCATGCCATTGCTTCTGCCACAGCAGGACACCCGGGCTGGACGCCCCTGCTGCAGGGGCACCGCGTGGCGCAGAGCAGTCAGACTGCCAGCACCGAGCACTGCTGCCTGCGGGGCCCTCCCGTCGCCTCGGTACAGCGAAACCCTACTGGAAGGGACTTTACCCACCACGCCAGGAGAGCATCTGAAGCAGGGCTGCATAACCTGTCTGTGCCCAGGGCTACAGATACATGGTGCATGGTCGTGGTTCAGACCCAGCTG